CCCCCCCCCCCCCCCCCCCCCCCCCCCCCCCCCCCCCCCCCCCCAAATCGAGACATGTGAGGACTCCTGTCGGGAATCGAGAAACCGGATGCAGCCCCACCACTGCCTCTGCCTCCCGGTGGTCGCTCTTTCCGCGCTCAGGATCTGAACGAAGGGGCCTGCGATAAAAAGGCTGTATCTTTTGAAGGCAGCAAAATCAGGAGTACTGAGTGCTCTCCTGTCCGTGTGGGTTTCCATGAACACTGTTACATTTCCACCGCCTTTTTCCACCTCCTGTCATGCACACTTCATTATGCGGGGCTCAGCAAGCCAGGGACAGCTGAACAAAGGGGCCTGGGCCAGGGGCTCTCCGCTGATGGAGACCCCAGCCCCCAGGCAGGGCCGCGAGGGACCTTTTCTATGCCGGGCTCCAGCCGGGTTCAGGGTTCCGCTCCTCCCCGCTCTGTGCCTCACTTTCCCCACGTACAAAAGGAGGGGCTCGCCCTGGCCAGTCCCCGGGGGCCCTTCAAGCTTTGGGTTCCTACAGCTGCCAAATACAAAGCCGGGGCCAGCCAGAGACCCGGCAGCTTAAGGCCGAATGGGTGGGGGTCCCCGACGCTGAGGCCACACACACGCGGATTCGTTCTGTCTTTTAAAGAGACCCGCACCCCTCGTGGAGGGAAGATGGCAATCCATCCATAAGGGAAAGCCTGTATGCCATGCCGACGGCCTATCCAGAGCCGTGAGGCATCCCCTTGCGAGCCCCGCTTGGTGTAAGGAAACATAAAGAGATTTTATCATTACGGGAAGGTTCTAGCGGGTGAGGCCTCAGCAACGGGCTCCCAGTCCTGGGCTCCCAGCAACCCTGTCACTGGGCATCTTAAATTTAAGCTAAAGACTTGCCGACCACCCCCCTCGTCCCCCCACAGCATCTAGCCTCACGCACAGAGGATGAGCCCACCTCTTCCCAATTCCCAGGCCTCCGGCCCCAAAGGAGGGTAGATGAAGCCGAAGCCGAGGCAAGGAGAGAGATGCCAGGGGCAGGGGGCGGGGGGGGGGGGGGGTTCTGTCTGGGGCAACAGCTGCGGCCTTGACAGCCTCAGAGACAGAGACGGGATGGGGAAAAGGGGAACGGGGGGGACAATTATCCAGAGGGCTATTTCCTCTGGACCCAGCATCCCAAGCTGAGAGGCTTTGTCAACCCAGTGGGGAGGGGACATTTTGTCTGGAAAACTCCATGGGAGGCAATCCTGAACCAGACACCAAAGAGGGTGGGCTCTGGGCGAAAAGCCCTGATCCCAAGTGGTAGCTTTTTCGTGGGGGGAGGAGACCCTCTGGGTCACGAGGCAGCCCAGAGGGTGCCGTGGAGGGGGAGCAGAGCTGCGGAGCGTGAGTCAGCTGCGGAGAAAATCCCGCACCT